ATAGCCACCCTGGCTAGTAGCCATCATAAGATAGCCCTGTTCTCCTCCATGAATTGTCCAATCCTCTTTTAAGTCCCCTAGGTATCTGGCCATCGCTTCTTCCAGTGGCAGAGAGTTCCATAGTTTAACTCTACATACATATTTTTATTCATATGCTGCCTTTCTATATAGTTCAAAGCATCATGAAAAAAAGACATCATTGCAGCATAGCATAAGTAGTCAAAAGCAAGAAAGGGCACAGCTCCGAAACGTGAGAAACTCTGGATCAGGGCTAAACTCCTGGGGGGTCCCTTGGCTTTCCTGCCAGCCACCTGCCACCATGCTTTTCACTGCCTCCAGTGGCAGAGAGTTCCACAGGCTAACGATGCACCGCATACAGAAAAGGTGCCCTTTTCACAGAATCCTAGGACTGTCTAGTTGGAAGGGGTCCCGAGGGTCATCTAGCCCAACCCCCTTTTACCCGTCCCGCCCAGCAGGAAGCGTGGCCCTTGGGTGGCCAGAAATTTTCTCACGTGGGCAATATCGGGGCGAGGAAGGGGAGCAACCGGATCACCTGCTGTGAAGCTGGAGCAGCTGCCCGATTGTGAGAATTTTTTGTCGGCGAGGTGCAAACGTCGCCTGGGGTGGGGCGACTGGCGAAGGAGGGCTGGGGGGAGAGGGGAGCTAAAGGTAGGGGGGAGAAAGAAGGATCCGTACCTCGAAGGTAAAAGGGTACGCCTGCTCACCGAGCTTCTTAATCAGTCGTTCCTGGAGCCGCGTCAGAGGCTTCTTCTCCTCAGTGACCGGAGGGAAGGCCTGGATGTTGGCGACAAAGAGGTCCTTGCGGAAGGTCAGCCCCAGGACGTCCAGGTCCTCGCGGCCGTAGCGGAAGGCGCACGTGAGGGTCACGAAAACTGCAAGCAGGGCAGAGAGGAAGGCATGTGGCGCAGAGGACAATACAGAGGGCCGGATGTGGCCCCCGTTTCCCACCTGCGCCCAGGGCTTGTGTCGGACTCGTCGCGTTTCCGCGCTGCCCTCCGAACCCCAAGGCGGCTTTCGAGCGACGCAGCACAACCGCAGAATGCGAAATGGGGCAGCCGCCAACAGCCGAGCTCATGGAGTCATCGGACATTGCCAAGAGGCAGTGTGGTGTAATAATAATAATAAAAATAATAATGATGATGATGATGATAACGATAATGATATCTTTATTGTCATTGTCCCTTGCCGAACAATGAAATTGAAAAACTACATAAAACTACATAAAAACTACATAAAACATTCAAAAACCCCTAAAAAAACCTCTAAAACCCCATTTTAAAATACACAATAATAATAATAATAATAATAATAATAATAATAATAATTTATTTATTTATATCCCGCCCTTCCCAGTTCAAAAAACCGGGCTCAGAGCAGCTAACAACAAATTTAAAACACTTAATTGATGCAACAACAACAAAAAAACCCAGCATAAAATACAGTATAAAGCATGAATAACAATAAATTCAGAATTCAAAAATCAATTTAGGGGGGAAATCCATCCAATAAACATTAGATGATCACCAGGGCTAGCTGGCTAAATTAGTCCTATTTGGGCCAGCGAGGAGACCAGGGGAGAATTAGCTGTGGGATCCCAGAGCGGGTAATCTTCATAAGAAGAGGAGGGGGAGGGAAGGAAGGGGAATAAAAGATCAGGACAAGTTCAAATTGAAAACCAGGCGGAATAGCTCTGTCTTACAGGCCCTGCGGAAGGAAGTTCTATCCTGCAGGGCCCTGGTCTCCTGGGACAGAGCATTCCACCAGGTCGGAGCCATCACTGAGAAGGCCCTGGCCCTGGTGTAGTAGTTAGAGTGCCTGGGTTTGAATTCCCGTTTGGCCACGGAGCACGCTGGGTGTGACCTTGGGCGCTGCCTCTCAGCCTGCCCTACATTGCAGGGTTCTTGTGAGGATGGGAGGAGGACCATGTACACAAGAAATGAACAAGAAAGCCTTTGCAAGTACAAGACAGCAGAGGGAAGCTTTCTGGGGGCCGCTTTGCCAGGTGTGAGCAAAGCCAGAGGCAAATGTCAGGTAGTGTAGTGGTTAAAGGTCTGGACTAGGACCTGGGAGAGCAGGGCTCAACTCCCAGCTTGGCCATGATGCTCACGAGGTGATCTTGGGCCAGTCACTCAGCCTAACCTACCTCACAGGGCTGTTGTGAGGAGCAGGAGAACCATGTACACCACACTGAGCTCCTTGGAGGAAAATTGGGCAATAAGTAAATAATAAAATAATAAAGCAGGCAACTGGCACAAAACTCACCTTTGCAGGATTCCAGGTGCAGGTCAGAGTTTTCCACCCCTCCCATCGCCCACCTTTCCATCCAGACAAGCAAGGAGGCACTCTCACCATTCAAGGGCCCATTCCAGCCAGTCAAAAGCCTTTTCAGAGGTTGTGGGGCAAGGACCGCGAGGGGTGCGGCTCGAGGAGAGAAGGCGTGGCCTGGGAAGGGGTCCTGACCTGGGGAGGTTCCCAAGAGCCAGACAGAGTGGTCTGGAGGGCAGCACCCAGCCCCAAAGCCTGAGGTACACACACACAAACACCGGAGTTACCTTTCCTTTCTTTTAAGTATTCTGGATCGACCAGCACAACGCCATCTGCAAAAGGAACGAGAGGCAGGTATGAGGGCAATACAAAACTGGTACTTCTGCTCTGCATGGGTTAGTATAGCTAACCCGGCTCTGTCCACGGAAACATGGCAGGCGACACGTCTTGACTCGATGCAGAGGAACAGTGGGAATATTGAGCTGGGGAACCCCCAAGGGACGAAGGCTCAGAACCCGGGATGTAGGGATGGAAAGGGCTGGGCGATATCTGGTTTCAAGTGCATACAAAAACATCATGTTTTGGATTCAGGTGGGTAGCCGTGTCGGTCTGACGCAGTCAGAAAAATAAATAAATAAAAATGTCCAGTAGCACCTTAGAGACCAACTAAGTTTGTTCTGAGCATGAGCTTTCGTCTGCATGCACACTTCTTCAGATACACTGAAACAGAAGTCACCCACAATAATACAGCAAACAGACTTAACATGGACACTGGTACCATAGAACCAGTATCTGAAGAAGTGTGCATCCACACGAAAGCTCATACCAATAACAAACTTAGTTGGTCTCTAAGGTGCTACTGGAAGGAATTTTTTAAATTTTGTTTTGACTACTACAGACCAACACAGCTACCTATCTGTTACTGGTACCAGAGCCTGCAATAAACCCAGATGCCAACATTGCTGACACATACACCTGGACAACACCATCACTGGCCCCAACAATATCAAACACACCATCTCAGGCCTATTTAATTGCTCATCTTCTAACATTGTGTATGCCATCAAATGCCAGCAGTGTCCTTCAGCTCTCCATATTAGACAAACAGGCCAAACCCTACGCCAAAGGATAAATGGACATAAATCTGACATCAGGAATCACAGGACAGAGAAGCCAGTAGGAGAACACTTCAATCTCCCAGGACATTCAATGCAGGATCTCAAAGTAGTTGTCTTATTAGAAAAGAATTTCAGAAACAGACTTGAAAGAGAAGTTGCTCAATTACAACTTATCACTAAGAGACCTGGTCTTAATAGAGACACTGGATTCTTGTCTCACTACACATGCTAAAGCTATTTTTGGTCATCTGCATACTATCCCTTGCCTTTTCCTGTAGGACTAATTGCAGGCATTAACAGTCGTCCACAGGTTTACCATATCCATTGAGTCAATCACCCATCTCCTACAACCCTTCTGAGAAAAACTCCACTCCACCCTCCTACAATATATAGGATCTGGTGACTTCTATTTCAGTGTATCTGAAGAAGTGTGCCTGCACACAAAAGCTTATACCCAGAAAAAACTTAGTTGGTCTCTAAGGTGCTACTGGACATTTATATTTTATTTTTATTTTTTAATTTGTTCATGTTTTGGGTTGAGGGTGGGGTCAGTCTGGATGATGCCCAGAGTTCCTTCCAATGTTTGGGGTCCTGTGCCCAGGGAAGGTTGGAATCTAACAGAGGATGTTGCTGTGGTGCTCAGACATGTTTATTTGCAGGACAATGTCCTTCGCTGTCCACTTCAGCGTCCTCAACAGCATCCCCAAAGAATAAGCTGGGTTGCAAGAGCTGCCACTAAGCGAGAGTACCCTTCAGGCGAATGGCTGGGCCTTTCCTCCAGCCCCCTCACCTATCTGCTGGGTAGGAGAAGCCAGAGGGTTGTGTTTGAGCTGAGCTGGAAGCCAGCTGGGAGCTGGAGACACCAGGATCTGCTTGCTCTGGGCTGGATCCACAGCTGAGACTAATAGAGAAGCAAGATCTCTTTGGGTGTCAATGCTGTGAGCCCCTGTGCCTTGTGCTCAGGTTTAAGGTAAAGGTAAAGGGACCCCTGACCGATAGGTCCAGTCGTGGACGGCTCTGGGGTTGCGGCGCTCATCTCGCTTTATTGGCCGAGGGAGCCAGCGTACAGCTTCCGGGTCATGTGGCCAGCATGACTAAGCCGCTTCTGGTGAACCAGAGGAGCATGGAAATGCCATTTACATTCCCACTGGAGCGGTACCTATTTTTCTACTTGCACTTGACGTGCTTTTGAACTGCTAGGTAGGCAGGAGCAGGGACAGAGCAACAGGAGCTCACCCCATTGCAGGGATTCGAACCGCTGACCTTCTGATCGGCAAGCCCTAGGCTCTGTGGTTTAACCCACAGTGCCACCCATGTCCCTATCATGCTCAGGTTTATATGTGTACAAATAAAACCAGATATCCTAAAGGTGCCAGTCTCTGCTGACCTTCCAAGGAACCCAGGTGAGTGCCTGGAACCTTTCGCCACTCATAGATTGGGTGGTTTGTGGCAGTAACTAAAGCTGCCCATATGCAACTGTATCAGGATTTGCCCCTGATATGGAAACCTCAAAGTTCTGAAGCACAGATGAGATGGAGAAGTTTGAGCCTTTCCCCCCTTCTAAATGCTGAAGCCAATTAATTTCTTAAATGGGGAGAATAGCTCAGGTGGTTGGAGCGTAGTGTTGATAACGCCAAGGTTGCTGGTTCAATCCCCGTATGGGACAGCTGCCAATTCCTGCATTCCTGGGGGTTGGACTAGATGATCCTAAGGGTCCCTTTCCAACTCTACGGTTCTGTGAAGACAGGACAGAACTGAGAGCTGCTGGGGAACGTCAAATTGGCAGGATCAGCTCCCATCGGAGCAGAGGAAGTGTGCTGCAGAGATGAGTCAGGCTTTGCAGATTTCCAGGGTGGAGAAATTAGCAGACAGGAAAAAGCCTTCGCTGCTGGTTCAATGTGCCACCAGAGGAAGGGTGGTAATTAAATAGTGGGTGGTGGCGTGGGGGGCAGAGAACAAAGCAAAACACCCGACATCCGCAACAGGAATCCTCCGGATCAGAGGTGATGGAGGCTCCGTGTAGCCCGCTGGCCTTAATAAATAACCGGAGGAAGCAGAAAGCACCACACACACAAAGCCGCAGAGCGAGGAACTGTTGGCACTGTTGCAGCACGCGCAACAGGGCTACGGACTCCAGTACGGGCTGTGGCACTTTTGGAGCTAATTGGTGCCATTCAGCTTTAAAACCTGGATCTGTCTGAATTGGCACGGCAGAGAAAAATGAACATTTGGGGGCTCTGCCCGTGGCATCATCTTGCCTCCTACCTAGAGGTTTATATTTGGATGATAAACAAGGCAAGCTAAAATTTCCTGCAAGGAATTCTCCACTGAGACACACAAACACAAGGATCCGATTCAGCTAAACGTGTGAGGCAACCAGCCGTTCCATCAGGTTGCGTAGGAGAGGCGAGAACCCAGAACAATGGATTCAAATGAGGAGAAAGGAGATTTTGACTAAACACCAGGAGGAACTTTCTGGCAGTAAGAGCTGTTCAACGGTGGAACAGTCTCCCTCCAGAGGTTGTGGACTCCCCTTCCTTGGAGGTTTTTAAGCAGAGGTTGGATGGTCATCTATCAGGAATTTTTCACCTGCGATTCCTGGACTAGATACCTTCCAATTCAACAATCTGATGATTTCTCTGAGAGTGGGAGAGAGGGGGCTGGAAGGCCTCGCCACCTGCTCTGGGCTTAAGCCCAGTGATGTTTAACTCCTCATCTCTCCCTCTATCTTTCCACCCCAAGAACTCTGTAACTAAGAAGCAGCGTGATAGATAGAGCTGTGCCTGAATACAACCAGACTGCATTTTGTGTGAATTATTTCATTCACCCCTTTGGCCAGAGTGGGTTTCTCATCTGCAGCCTAAGCGTGACTCACAGCAGAAGCCTGGAATGCCCCAGACCATGAGTAAGATTTGTGATCTTCCCAGAAACCGAGAGATGAGTGCCACCATCGACACGTGCTTCCTCGGACGACATGAACTGTTTTCACCCCAGCCGGTCCCAGGTCCCAGCCCCACAGGGGCAGCCCGGGAAGCCCCACTGCCTTGCTGAGCTAATAATAATAATAATAATAATAATAATAATAATAATAATAATAATTTATTTTTTATTTTTTATTTATACCCCAGCCACTCTGGCCAGCTTCTAACAGAATGTTATAATACAATAGTCTATTAAACATTAAAAGCTTCCCTAAACAAGGCTGCCTTCAAATGTCTTCTAAAAGTCTGGTAGTTGTTCTCTTTGACATCTGGTGGGAGGGCGTTCCACAGGGCGAGCGCCACTACTGAGAAGGCCCTCTGCCTGGTTCCCTGCAGCTTCACTTCTCGCAGGGAGGGAACCGCCAGAAGGCCCTCGGAGCTGGAACTCAGTGTCCAGGCAGAACAATGGACACAGCTGCCATGGACACAGAATTGACCTGCGCCTCCATGGACAGCTGCCAGTCCAGAATGACTCCCAGGCTGCGCACCTGGTCCTTCGGGGGCACAGTTACCCCATTCAGGACCAGGGAGTCCTCCACACCTGCCCGCCCCCTGTCCCCCAAAAACAGTACTTCTGTCTTGTCAGGATTCAACCTCAATCTGTTAGCCGCCATCCATTCTCAAACCGCCTCCAGGCACTCACAAAGGACCTTCACCGCCTTCACTGCGATGCCGCGAAATGACATCACATATGAATGTAAAGAAGAACGGTGACTTTTTAAAGAAGCGGTGCCTGAGGTTGTTGTTGCTTTTCCCCTCCTCCCAGGTAATCTCCCATCTGAGCATTCACACCACAGAACAATAGCATCACAGAATTGCAGAGCTGGAAGGGACCACGAGGGTGATCTGGCCGAACCCTCTGCAATGAAGGAATCCTTTTTCGCTTCGGCAAGGCAGCTGCATCGCAGGTCTGTAGGGCCATCTCCCGGACCCACGAGACGGATGTCTCATCCAGCCCAGAGCTCACTTACCCACTGGATCGACGACATCTATGTGGTCCACGAAGTCCCTCTTGCCCAAGTAGACGGTGAGCTGCAGAGAGGAGACACAAAGGCATAAGGCGGCTGTCAGCACCCAGCTGATTCAACAGTAAGGTTTCTCAGTATTTTATCAACCGATGTCCGCAGGCACACACAGTCGCGCCAGCGCCATCAGCCACTTAAAATGTGAGCAGAGCAGATGGGCTGTGAGAGGCAGGACGGCAGGATCGCATCTAGTGAAAACACGAGGAGGGGCCTTTTCTGCGGTGGGTCCCCGCTCGTGGAATGCTCTCCCCAGGGAGGCTCGCCTGGCACCTTCACTATATATTTTCAGATGCCAGGAGAAAACATTCCCCTTCAACCAGGCCTTCAGCCATTAATACACATAGGGCCTTTTAAAGTGTGTGTGTGTGTGATTTTTAATATTATTTGTTTTTATGTTGTAAACTGCTTTGTGGTCTTATGATGAAAGGCGGTATATAGTGGTGGACTTGTATGGTTATAAGCGAGTTTTGGAATAACATATATGACGAATTAAAAAAATTATTTAAACTTAACATCAAAAAAAGGACTGGAGGTTTTCCTTCTAGGAATATTACCAACAGAAATAAAGCAAAACACAAGACCACTGTTTATGTATTCAGTCATAATACATAATTATGATTGCAAGAATATTCGTAGCCAGAAGTTGGAAATGTGAAACAATACCAACAATAATAGACTGGCAAACACTCATGGTAGAGTATATTCACTTAGCAAAGCTGACTGGAAAAGTTAGGGGAGTCCTAAATCAAAAAGTATATAGAGAATGGATATTATTCAAGGAGTATATAAGATCACACTGTAAAAATGAAACTGTCCTGGCAGAATTGAATGATACTTGTGTATAATAAATAAATGGGGAAAAATATCTTAGAAGAATATGTAGGAAAAGCTATAAAATAAACTGTGTGATAAAATCAAGATATTAGAAAAAGTACGATGAGAATGATTGGACGTTTTTGTTCCAGAAGACTTTATTGGTCATGATATGATAATACAACCGATAGTCTTTTATTTTAATGTTAACTCTTTTTTGCTCTTTATTTTTATTCTTGTTATTCTTTTTTTCATTTTCGTGTGAAACTCTGTTGTAACCATTTGTAATGTATTTGTATGATAGTATTTTAAATCAACAAAGATGTTTATTAAAATTTCTAAAAAAGGTGGTACAGTGGTACCTTGGGATGTGAACGGGATCCGTTCCGGAGCTCCGTTCGCATCCTGAACAGAACATAAGACGCGACTGCGCGGGTCGCGTTTCGCCGCTTCTGCGCATTACGTCATTTGACTGTGCATGCGCGAGCGGTGAAACCCGGAAGTAACGCACTCCGTTACTTCCGGGCCGCCGTGGAACGCAACCCGAAAATACTTATCCTGAAGCGTATTTATCCTGAGGTATGACTGTATATAACTTTAATGAATAAATACATAATCTAAACAAGTAAATAATAAATAATCCCACAGTCAGAGGCAGCGATGCTTCTCAGTGTCAGTTGCTGGAGAGGAGAATTGCTCTTGCGTTTGAATCCTGCTTTGAGGGTTTCCCATAGTGGGCATCCAGTTAGCCACTGTGAGAAGAGGATTCTGGACTCAATGGGCCACTGGCCTGATCCAACAGGCTCCTACTTTCTTGTAAAACACCACACGCAGCAATTGCACATAACAGCAACCACTGCTACCACTTCAATGGAGCACAGAAATCTGTCCCATCCCAACCATTGAGCCAGCATCATCCCTGGCTGGCAGCAACTCTCCAGAGTTTTTAGACAGCGGTTTGTAGGAGCATAGGAAGCGGCTGAGTCAGACCACAGGTCCATCTGCCTCAGTACTGCCTACACTGGCTGGCAGCAATGGGTTGGGGTCTCCACAATCCCTACCTGAAGATGCCACTGAGGGTTAAGGCTAGGCGATATCTGCTTTTCAGCTTCGTGATCTATCGCCATCTAAACACTGTGACGTAACTGATATAGGATTTGCATCATCAGTTCTGTGTCCAGGGCAGCTGTCTACCAGCTCCATCTGGTATGCAGAATGAGACCCCACCTGCCCGCAGACTGTCTCGCCAGAGTGGTGCATGCTCTAGTTATCTCCCGCTTGGACTACTGCAATGCGCTCTATGTGGGGCTGAAGGTGACCTGGAAACTACAACTAATCCAGAATGCGGCAGCTGGAATGGTGACTGGGAACAGCCTTCAAGACCACATAACACCAGTCCTGAAAGATCTACATTGGCTCCCAGTACATTTCCAAGCACAATTCAAGGTGTTGGTGCTGACCTTGAAAGCCCTAAGCAGCCTCAGCCCAGTATACCTGAAGGAGCGTCTCCACCCCCATCATCCAGCCTGGACACTGAGGTCCAGCTCTGAGGGCCTTCTGGCGGTTCCCTCATTGCGAGAAGTTACAGGGAACCAGGCAGAGGGCCTTCTCGATGGTGGCGCCCGCCCTGTGGAATGCCCTCCCGTCAGATGTCAAGGAAATAAACAACTACCTGACTTTTAGAAGACATCTGAAGGCAGCCCTGTTTAGGGAAAGTTTTTAATGTTTGATGTTTTATTGTATTTTTAATATTTTGTTGGAAGCCGCCCAGAGTGGCTGGGGAAACCCAGCCAGATGGGCAGAGTATAAGTAATATATTATTATTATTATTACCTCGGGATGCGAAC